ATATTTGAGTCACAGCCCCTTGAGGCAGGTCAGTGAAGTCTAGGGATATGAATACTGTTTATTTCATTTGGACCTTACTTACACATTACTTCCTCTACTTAATCTGCATTTGGGAAATCAGCACACAGCTAGACTTGGGATCCAATTTCTTAAAGGAGTTACTAAACAACCCACTTACTCTACTTAGAAAGCCAATGATAGGAAGGGGTAAAATAAGTCCAAAAAGAAAAAAAAATTTTCCAATATCTTCACTCCAGGCCTTGTGGCCTTCCTTCAACAGCTCTAAGAATAGCACTGATATCACCAATGTATTTTATTATATTACTCCATCCAACCGATAGCAAGGAAAATGGCTCACTTACGGTCACTTAGTGAAGAGGAGAACCATTCAACAGCCAACAGTAGAGGATAACTGCCCGCTGTTGATGGAAAGGTTGGGGAAGGGATGAGTTCATACCCACAGAGGAGGCAGAATTACCTTTCCTGATCTTTTAGCATCAACTTCTGCCATCTTCTAATAGAAGATGCCCATCTTTCTCTTCCAGTTAGCAGCTCTGTGAGTGCTTTCTAGTAATGAGGGCCTCATATCCTAACTCCAGTGTTAATAAATAGCATGTGATACATAATACACAATTCTCATTTTTTTCCAGTGGCACCCACTGCACTAAACATAGCCTGGTGAACTTGGTATATTTTAAAATAGTTACTATTTTTCTACCTCATTCTATATAATAAAACCCTAATATGCAGCCAAAGCCAGTTTGGCTCAGTGTTAGAGCGTCGGTCTGCGGACTGAAGGGTCCCAGGTTCGATTCCAGTCAGGGGCATGTACATTGGTTGCGGGCACATCCCCGGCAGCTGGTCGGTGTTTCTCTGTCATCGACCTTTCTAGCTCTCTATCTCTCTCCTTTCCTCTCTGTAAAAAACCCGTTTCTAGCTCTCTATCTCTCTCCCTTCCTCTCTGTAAAAAATCAATAAAAATATTTTTTTTAAAACCCTAATATGCAAATCAACCGAATGGCAGAATGACCAGGCTCTATGACGTGCACTGAGCACCAGAGGGCAGACGTTCAACGTAGAAGCTGCCCCCTGATGGTCAGTATGCTCCCCAGTGCCGCTCAGCCGGGCTCATGGCTGGTGAGTGCAGTGGTGGTGGTGGAGCCTCCCCTGCCTCCTCTGCAGGCGGGCGGGTAAGGAGCAAGGGGTCCCGGACTGCAAGAGCCCCGGACTACGAGAGGGATGTCTGACTGGCGGGGGTCCTGGACTGCGAGAGGGTGCAGGCCAGGCTGAAGGACCTCCCTTTCCCACCCCCGCCGCCCTGCAGCTGCCCAAGTGCACGAATGCCGTGTACCAGGCCTCTAGTCCTATAATAATAAAAATGTAATATGCAAATTGTCCCCTCGACCGAGAGTTCATCTGGGAGTTCGACAGGGGACCGGGCAGGCCAGTGGAAGGGAGGGAGGCCCAGGCTGGCAGTGGTGGTGACGGGGGGGGGGGGGGGGGGGCAGGAGGTCCTGGTGGCAGCAGGAGGCCGGAGGGAGGGAGAGGGAGTACCTGGCCAGCAGCCAGCAGCCGCTGGGGACCCTAGTAGTGGGGCCTCTAGTTAATAATAATAAATCTGATTTTACCAAATCCATGTTTGAAAAACAGTCCCATAAACAAGGTATAGTACTGGGCCAATATAAGGTCATAAAAGTTATTTGGTGGTTAAAGTATTCACCACAGGCAATTGTAAATACAACTGTCTCAATCAAGAGTATATAGTGAGCCCTGGCCAATTCGACTCCATTGGATGAGGGCCATCCTGTGTACCTAAAGGTCTCCAGTTCCATTCCTATCAGGGCATATGCCCGGGTTGCAGGCCCAATCTCCACTAGGGGGCATGCAGGAGGCAGCCAATCAATGTTTCACTGATGTTTCTCTCTCCCCCTCTCCCTCTCTCTATAGAATCAATTTTTCTAAAAACATTTTTAAATAGAGAATATAGTCGATATTAAAGACTGAACCTGATGAGGGAGGTGTTGGAGAAGCACTCTCTGTGGACCCAGCCTCAGGCCAGGGTGGCAATCGCAACAGGGTTATATTTTGGAGATTTTAATTACTCTGCCACCAGAGTAAACAAAAAGTGCAAGAGCCCTAGCCAGTTTGGCCCAGTGGATAGAGCACTGGCCCATGGACTAATGGTCCCGGGTTCGATTCGTCAAGAGAACATGCCCAGATTGCAGGTTCAATCCCCAGTAAGGGGTGTGCAGGAGGCAGCCGATCAATGATTCTCTCTTATCATTGATGTTTCTATCTCTCTCTCCCTCTACCTTCCTCTCCGAAATCAATAATATATTTTTTTAAAATAAGTAAATAAAAGTGCAAGAAAAAAAAGGAGAGTCACAAAGAAAGAAAGTAGAGGGATGAAGATTAAGAAGTTGGAGATACCCAAAAGTCTGTTTCCTCACTTTAGTATAGAGCACTCTGATAACTTTCACCAAATGAAAGTTATCCTGTTAACCATTGAGTGCCAAACTGGTACGGCAGCACAATCACAAATATCTGAGTACTGAAGCTGACTCATAAAAATCTAAAAATATTTCATACTTTAGGCTTTCTAACTAGCATAAGTTTAACTCCTTCCCCTCCTTCAATCATGTTCTTTTGAAGCCAATGTAAAAAACATTTTGAAATCGGTAATTAAAATGTGGTGAACACAGAAAGCCACATGCAATTACATTTTCAGGCTTTATCATTCCTACATCTGATCCTGGATTTACCAAGGATAAGTAGTTGTGCTGTCTACTACACTGAAATAAATGCATATATGTTTATGAAAAGCATTGCCTAAAAACCTTAACGGTTATCAAAACCTGTATATAAAAAGCCATTTTAAAATTGATCTAGATAACTACTGAATTCTTTTATTAAATTTTCTAAGAGTCCCAGATTATAATGTCTTCAAAAGGCGGAAACATCTTTTCTGACCAGAGACAAGCACAATCATGTAAAATAGAAATGTTTTTAAGTTATGAGTATCAAAAGCCAATAAATGTAGGCTGGAGACTTTTAACAACACACCCGAAAACACTAAGTAGATTACACTGTGTTTCCTACAATTCTTTTGAAAATAAAGGCATTTCATTATTTTTCAAATCATTAGAAATGAAAGGAGCACAGAACAGCCCATGTCAAAGAGATACCACGATTCACGTTTTCTATTATGAATACACCCATACGAATATGTACCCTATTTGTAATTCTAAGGAAGATATTTCACCAAAGTAATCTACAAAGTTGCAGAATGCCGAAGGCTGGACTACCATAGCTCAATAAATTATACTGAGGAAGAAAAAAAATTACTTAACAAATGAAAATCAAATAAAAATCCACAAGTGACAGGATCCCTTAAAAAGCAACCACACGTGTGTGTGGGCACACACACAAATTAGTAGTTTTTATAGTACTGTACTCAAGGATGCTGGAGCCGTCCAGCCCTGTGAATTATGCAAAGGACAGCAGATATGAAGTGGCCTCCCTACTCATGCTACTGTACTTCCATTTTTGAAATGTGCTTCTCAACTCCCCAGATAGCATCGTCCACAGAAACCATGCAGCCATCCATCAGACTTTCGGTGTCACCATTTATTATTTATAGCATGAAATGGGGGAAGTGGCTCTGATGTCACCGACCCTACCCAGTGGAATCACTGACTCAATAAGCATTTTTCACACTGGAGGAAAAAAATCTGGCTAGGAAAGCGTTTTGCTGGGTGAAGCAGATCCTCCTCTCACCTTTCCCCTCCGCCCTGGGTGGAAGCTGTGACCGTGTCGGGAGAGATACAAAGAAACTGTCAAGGTTTCCACAGGAAGGAGCCCTGGGCTTGTCCATCTGCTGGGGCTCTGACTTCCCCCACAGCCCGGTTCCTTTCCCTCACGTTCAAATGGGCAGGTAATAGCTGCCATGTTTTATTTCTCCCACCCAATCAGCCACCAAGGAGGCAATCTCTTATGGCCCCGTTTCTACATAAAAATAAAAAATAAAAACAAAAAAACACCCTCTGGCTCCAAGTCCTAAGAGGGAAAAAGGATCGGGGTGTCCGCGGGACGAGGAAGTCTGATCTGGCAAGAAAGGGTTTCTAACAGAAGGATCGCTCCCCCCGGGACTGGAGATTCTTTTTTCTCTTTTTCTTTTTCCTTTTTTTTGAGAAGAAAGAGCTGGCGGGCGGCAGTCATGAGGACAACCCTCCCTCCCTCCCCCCAGTCTCCTAAAGCAGCTGTGGAAACGTGGAGGTGCTCCTGGGGGATGGAATCAGGGTACCTGGGGCCTGGCTATGCACACAGCCCTCTCGGCCCAGTAGGAAGCCCTTTGTCCGAGAAGCCGGACATCACCGAGGTCCAGGGAGAGAGGCCCCTGGCTTAATCCGCCTCAGCCTCACACCCCGGCGCTCCCCGCCTCCCCCCCCCAGGGCCTGGCCCGCACCCGCACACACGGCTCCGGGTCCGGGAGAAGGTGCTGAGACCCCTCCTAGGACGCGGAGGCCGAGGCCCTGAGCGATCTCCGCTGCTCCCCACCCCCCTCCCATCACCATCTCACTCGGCCTAAGTGGGGGTTGCAAGAGCGGTGCAGGCCTGGACCGAAGAAATAGAGGAGAGGAAAAAATAATAAATCCACTTCTCAGAGAAAGAGAAGGAGATGCCAGAGCGGGTGTGAGCTAAGGCCACCGCATTGGCGAGCGAGGTTCGTTCGAGAGAGGGGCCCGGAGACAGGGCTGGGGAGGGAGGAGAACCGAGGGGCCGGAGGGGGCCGGGCCACCTCCGGCCGGAGATCTCGAGGGATCCGACGGAACCGCGCCGGGCCCGAGGCCAGGGGAGGCGGGGGGAGCGGGGGGAACGGGGGGAGGGAGGGAGATCGGGGCCGAGGCGGCGGGGAAGGGCCGGGGCCGGACGCTGAGATGGGCAGGCCCGCCCGGGGCCGGGCGGACGGAAGAACAGACGGTCCGGCGGGCCGCACTCACCATGAGCTCGATGGTCTTGTCCTCAATCACCGAGTCGGGCTCCATGGCGGCCCCGGCGGCCCCGCCTCGCTCTCCCCGCGCAGCAGCGAACCGCCCGTGCGGAGGAGGCGACGGCGGAGGCGGCAGAGGCGGAGGCGGTAATCGCACCCACACTAGCTGCCAGCCCGCCCGGGCCGCCGGCAGCTCCGCCCTCCCCCTCGGTGGACGCAGTACGCAGAGCGGGAACTACAGCTCCCGGCAGGCGCCGCGTGCTCCGCAGAGCGCTGTGGGAACGGGAAGCCGGCCTCTCCGGGCGGCTCCGAGCTCAATGCTGAGCCGGAAGTAGCCCTGGGTAGCGAATGCGAAAAGTGCAGGCTCCGGGGTTCCCTCCGGATAGAGCCTCGGGAGTTCCATGACTACATGTCCCAGAAAGCCCTGCGCGCGGGTTCTCCTTCCGCCACTTCCTCCTAACTTCCTGGGAGCTGCAGGCCGCTCAGACCGGAACGGAAAGTCCGAGGCCACTAGTCACTTGTCAGAGATTCTGCGTGTGCGACCCATTTCCGGACATGCGCAGTCAGCGTGCGCGGCGCCCCTTCGACGCCCAGGGAGCGGCCAGGCGGGTCCGCGAGCGGCTGGGGGTAGGGACACGTGTTGGAGACAGGTGGGTTCTAGGTGCTTTAGAAGGGGATGGGCTTAGGGCTCAGGTGGGGGAAAGGGCCGGCCGGCGAGAGAAGCTCCGCTAGGAGGTTTAGGTGGGGAAGAGGAGGTTGGTGGAGAGGAGCTGTGATGCTGTCCATGTGCTCCACGACCGGGGAGGAGCCGAGAGAGGAAAGGGAAATTGTGTATACCGAACCCCTCTTACTTATTCGTTCAGGAAGTACTTTGTAAAAATATGTATTTTATAGATTTTTTTTTAAACATCGATGAGAATCATCCATCAGCTGCCTCTTGCACACCTCCTACTGGGGATGTGTCCGCAACCCAGGTATTATACATACATGCCCTTGACCGGAATCGAACCTGGGACCTTTCCGTCCGCAGGCCCACGCTCTATCCACTGAGCCACCGCCGGTTACCAGTCTAGACACTGGGAGTCAGCTCTGAACATCACACACAGGTCTCTGTTCTCGTGGAGCTTAATTCTGGGGGGAGAGGGGGTGTCATTAACCACAGAGTGCCAGGCGCTAAGAAAGAACGGGGCTGGGGACCTGGAGACTCCTGGTGAACTCTGCCACCGGCTCTGGGAACTGTCAGTGCCTTCCGATCGGAAACCGCCAGGGACCCGGCAGCAGCAGAACCAGTTGGTCCCTGCTGGTCCCTGCGAGGAAGAGCCACTCACATGAAGTGCGCTGGGACCACTCCGTGCGAGCTGTGGGGTGACCTGGGGGAGGTTTTGAGGAAGTGAGGCTCTCCCCGGACTAGATGGTGCCGGAAAGCAAGGATCCTGTGATTGGGCAGCTCAGTAGATCTTCCCTGGAGGGGGGGAGGGGGGAGGGGGGAGGGGGGCGGGGTGGGGAGGGCTGGGACACTGAGGGTAAAGCTGTAATTGGTACATAAGCAGTGAGGGCGGGGCCGGCTTGTTTCTGTCTGGATCTGGCATGGTCCCAGAATGGCCTAGTCTGGTATCTGGTCTGTGTTCCGGGAAATTACTAGATTCAACAGGAGGAGAAGGCGAGGCTATGGATCCTCGAGTCACAGAACGGCCGGGCTCTGATGTATCTGGCCAGCGTTCAACTGTCAGGAGCTACTGTCTCTTCTCACGTGTTTTTTGCATTCTCTGCACGTGGACAGTGAGTTGACTAAATGAGCTAGAAACCCCATTCCTATGGTCCAGATTGTTAGTTGTTTTTGTGTAGCAGGACACTGTAAGCTCCTCACTGTTGGCGTTTAAAGTTCCACGATCCTTATCTCGTGCTTTCCACCAAGGGAACGGAGAGAAAAGCAACGGGAAGGAAGTGCACAGGATTGGAGAGTGATTGCCATTAACCTGCCATCTGAATTTCACCGACCCCTTCCCCTGTCTGGGCCATGGGACATTCGTTAGTAAAACAAATCGGTTACAATAAATGACCCGTGTTGCAGTGACCTATTGCATCAGAATAAAACACCCCCAAGACTTAGGAGCTTAAAATATTATATTTCTCACAACTGTGTGGGTTGACTGGATCCAGCTGAGCCCACAGAGTATGAGCTGCCATTAGTCAGGGACTGAAATCAGTTGGGAGCTCATCAAAACAGCCTCTGGGCCTCCCTTTCCACCTGGGTGATCGTCAATCAGGCTTCTGCAGGATAGTTAGCTTTCTAGACTCTAGATTCTAGAGCAGCGGTCGCCAACCTGTCAGACCTCACAGACCACTGATTGGTGACCGCTGTTCTAGAGGACATGACCCCAATGAGCAAATGCTTTTTAAGCCTTTGCTAATGTCCCATTGGCCAAAGCATGTCACATGGCACAGCCCAGAGTCGGTGTGGGAAGGGACAGAGTCCTGGTTCATTGGGAGCCACCAGTGTATCAGGCAGCCAGACTTCTGAGGTCCCAGCACTTCCCACAGGGCCTACCCCGTAGGGTTAGGGTAGAAGTCACAAGCTGAATATGACCCCTCAAAATGTGTGTTTATCACACTGTCTTTTCTATTGTTTTCAAGTTTGACACTTTCACATTTTAAAATCAACTTCCAGCTTCTCTCAAAAATTAAACACTCTATTCTAGCCAGAGGCTAGAGTGTCAGTGTTTAGATTCTTGGTCAGGACACATACCCAGGTTCCAGGTTGATCCCCAGTCAGGGTGTGTACGGGAGGCAACCGATAAAGTTTATCTCTCATATCTATGCTTCTCTCCCTTTCCCTTCCTCTAAAATTAATGGAAACTTTTTATTTTATTTTATTTAATATATTTTATTGATTTTTTTGCAGAGAGGATGGGAGAGAGATAGAGAGCTAGAAATGTCAACAAGAGAGAAACATTGACCAGCTGCCTCTTGCAAACCCCCCACTGGGGATGTGCCCGAAACCAATGTACAAGCCCTTGACCGGAATCGAACCTGGGACCTTTCAGTCCACAGACCGACGCTCTACCACTGAGCCAAACCGGTTTCGGCGGAAACATTTTTTTTTTTTTAAAGACTGGAGTGGGAGCCCTAGCCATTTTAGCTCAATGGATAGAGCGTTGGCTTGTGGACCAAAGGGTCCCCAGGTTCGATTCCAGTCAAAGGCACATACTTTGGTTGCAGGCTCCTCCCTGGTCCGGGCCCTGGTCGGGGCTCCTGCAGGAGGCAACCAATCAACGTGTTTCTCTCACATTGATGCTTCTCTGTCTTCCCCTCTCTTCCTCCACTCTCCCTAAAAGTCAATGGGAAAACATCCCTGGGTGAGGATTAACGACAAAATAAACATCGATGAAAATAAAAGAATCTCTTGTGGAAAAAAAAGACTGGAGTGGGACCCTGTGACTATTTCTGCCCTGCCAGCTGGCTGCCAGCCCCCCACCTGTGGCACGTCCAAATAATGTATTCTCACCTGTGGTGATGAGTTTCCTGCATTTAGATACCTTAGGAGAATAGCGCACTGAAATTGTGACAACTCATTTTCACTAATGTCAAAAAAAAGGCAGATCTTTTGAGGGAGAATCTTGCAAACTCATAAGTGTCAGTAAGATGTATTAAAAGGTAGCAGCTCTGTATTTTATCCACATGACAAGGCTTCCTGCCTTATCTTTTTATAGGGGGGGAAAGGTATCATGAACTATACATTTATTTGGATTGAAAAAGCCAGACTTTCTGACAGTCTAATTTGATTGACTGGTTCGATAGGATTGGCACTGCCAAAAATGGATTGTTAGGTTAGTTAATTCTTTAGTACCCTGATTGTGTGGAAAATATATTTAAAGCACAAAGTACAAACATTCATCAATTCATTTATTGGCAAGTGTATTGAAATTAGTATTTGTATTTTTCCCTACTCTTTTTAAACTTAAGTTAAATAAGACACCTGCAATTGAAAAAGTAAAGTTATATTAGTCAGAATAGAATACATTATGCCACATGAGCAAATTATCCCGTGTATCAAAAAAACAGAACCACTAAGAGTGAATTAAGGAATATTTTACAAAGAGTTGATGTTATATAATTGTCTAGTTAAGCAATCTCTAAGGCTGTTGTCTTCCTGGGCAATAGTGGATCTTAAAGTCCACGGGGTAAGCACGTCAGGAAGGGGAGACGGGTGGAAGGTTGGGGAGAAAGCATAGGTGAACTGGGGTCAGACTGAAACCTGTGTCAGTGCTCATTGCCCCTGACCTTGGTGCCATGGATGTCCTGCAGAGGCTGAAGCGTCACAGAGCTGAACAGCCACACCTGGCCCAGGAACCAGAAGCTGAAAGGAGGCTCTGAGCCTAAGGGAATGTGGAGCCATTGCAGAACCAGCCACTCACACCACAGAGGTGAGTGAGCTGAGCAACAGATGTATTTAGGCAACAAAATGACTGCAGTTTCACTTCCACCCCCAAACCCCTCACAGGAATCTGCCTTCTGGCCCACCCTAATCAGAAATGGACAAGAACGAAATTCAGGGAAATGTAGCTTCCTAGCCAAGTGACCCATTACTACATTTTCACACCTGAATACACATATCTGTTCGTGTGAAGTCCACACTGGCCAGCCAGCTCTCTATCTTAGTTAGACCACCTGGGATTCGTGGTCTCCAGTGTTAATGGAAAGCGGAGGTTGACTAACTATTAACGGCCTTATCTTGGAAAGTCATTCCTACTCACTATTGGCCAGTGCCCATCGCTCAGTCCTCAAGACTGGAAGGGCTGCCAGTGGATGGGCTCCTCTGTGTGACTAAAAAAAGAAAGAATTCGCTGAACAAATAGGATGATCTCTGCTGCACAGGTATGATTAATATTCATTTACTACATCTCGGTAAAGTCTTTGGTATGCTGAGTTTCTCCAGTGACAAGATAAAAAAATCCATTTAGTAGTCAGGGGGTTCCCAATATTTTGTTCTTAACCAAATTGATTGAATTGAGCTCCCATTTCCTCATCAATAAAACGGGAATGACGGTGTCTTCT